TTTTCATCGAAACACTGGCAAATTGCATAAACATGCACATGTCACTTTACAACATTTGTACACATACCTGAATGTTTGTCTACGCCCTCGCACGTTTTAACTATCCTCTCCAGCTATTACAGATTACTCTCCGAGCAGGTCATTATGTTTGGCCCTCCCCGTCCACTTCGTCGAACAGGTCGATGTCTCCGGCCAGCCTCTTCGTCGTGTCCTCCACCTCATCTTCCAACTCCTGCTGCTTCATCGCACCAGCCCCTCTGGTGAATTCGGCCCCCATCGCTCGCAGATCGATGGTAGGGTAATGAGACCAAACTACCACCAGGGCATGGGTCACGGTGGAGATAGTGGCATCACGATTGAAGCTTTTGAAGTTCCCCCACATCGCCTTGCACCTATCGATGATGGTGTCCGATGAGGCGGCCTGTTGCCGGGCTGAGGAGCTGTCTCCATGTCGATGCAGTCAAGTACCGGCCTGACTTCAGCCACCACAACATTGAGCTTTTGCCTCTGTGTTTGCGCCTCTAGCTCCAGCACATCAAGCTAGGCCTTGGTCCTTCGATGGTATTCTACAAGCACCGAGAAGATCCGTCAAGCGAATAAGTCACTTAAGCAACACCTCTAACCATGAACTACTCACCTTTTAGCTCCTTAGCCAGTTTCTTCACTCTCTCAAACGCCTTCTTCTCCTCCTCTTGGAGTTGATCGACGACCTGACGCAACTGGCTGAGCTCCGTATCTTGCTCTACAAAAGTGGCAATCATCAGCAACATTAAAGTTGTTCGGCAATACAGAAAAAGTTCACCGATCTGTAGTACCTTTCTTCTACTCGGAGAGGCTTCTCAGCTGCTCGGAGCTACCCCACAACTGCTCGGACATGGTCGCCAGTTGCTCGGATAAGGCCCCCTTTTAGTATTCTAGATCCCGCGCATTAGATTCGGCAAGATCCCGCTCGCGCTAGGCCCTCTAGACGTTTTTTCTCCATAAGCTTCATAGCCTCCTTTAGCTTTGTGTTCTCCTCAGCGAGGGGCTCCATCCTCTTGATCAGCTATCACCGTTGTTCACTAGTTCATGCTATGCCTAGCAAAAGCAACAAGATTATGAAGAACTCCAATCTCCGATGCCAAAGACGGACACTGCCGACGCAATACTAACCTTGATCTGCTTCATGGCTGTGGAAAGGGTGGACTCCAACCTCCTCACCTCCCTGGTGGTGTCCTCCTCTTCCACAACCACCACTTCATCTCCCTCGCTTGCGGAGGATCCAGACGGTTTGAGGTCATGATTCCTCACGCGATCAATCTCTTCCACCTCGTCCTCCTCCGCAGCTGGCGGCACTGTCTGGGGGCTCGGTTGCCGCACAGCATGGCCGACCACGCCCTCCGACGCCTCAGGGAGCGCTGCTTGCTCTTCTGGCACCACTGGGTTCTCCACTCTAGACTCCGGCATGGTGGGGTAACTCCAGCATCCGCCTCTAAAGACCCGGCGGCTCCCGCCGTTGCCCTTGGCATCGCCGCCGACTCGTCCGCTGACATCGCCAACCGTTCTCCGTCGTCAAGTCCATCCGCAGTAGCGGTCGACTCCTCTATAGGTGGCCGAGTGCCCAGGGACTCTGGGACGAGGTCTACCGGCATTGCCTCCGTGCCGGGACCAGCCCTCGATTGTTTGCCAGTCTGGACGGATGGATTCAAATCATTTGGACGCCTCGATCTACATCAGATTAGCTCATCAATCGCCGCAACTATAAGGATCCAACAGCAAACTGAATCCAAGGCAAGGAAACTTACACGTCGGCCTCCCGATACACGGTTCTAAACCGGCGCTGCCTCCCCGAGCCCCCGAGCATGGCTCTAGGGTCAACCCGCATGCCCTGGGCTGAAGGTCTCGCGGCCCCCGCCGTCGGCCTCTCCTCCGCCTATCGATCGAGGACTCCCTTCGCCTGTTGCTCGGGGACTCCTTTCACATGTTGTTCGGGGACTCCCTCCCCTCCTTTTGACTGCACCTCTAGGCGCGTGTTGCGCGATGGTGCCTTAGTGCTCGGAGGAGGAGCTACCGGAGCCCCATCGTCATCCAACCACTCGGACATCACCACACTATGCGTCCGAGTGGTCTGGTCGCCGCCAAGTGAGATGCCTCCCGATTTGTGGGGAGCTACACCCGCTGTCTTCCTCTTCTTGTGGGCCGGCTCATCTGTCGCCGCCCTTTTCTCCTAGACTTTCTCCGACACTGGGGGGGACTCTCCGTCCGACCAGCGTCTGCGCCTCTAGACTCCAACATAGGCGCTGATGACACCTTCCTTCGGCTGAGTAGTTGGTCGGGCATCCACTGACTTTGGCCAATCGCTCCACAGCATGCTCAAGAAGTACGCTGCTCTTTCCTACGAATGGATCTTTCCATAAGTGAATCAGTTCACTGCTCGGTAACGATATAGGATAAAAAGCATCAGGAACAAATAGATGAGACTTTTACCTGAGGAGGCGGGTTCATATAGTTGAAGGCTTTTGTCTGCCCTTGCACGCTGAACGATGCGTTCAGAGCAAATAGTTTAGCTGGTCGGCGTATCACATCGTCCCTCGATAGCTTCTTCGTCCTCTCCCGGGTGCCGTCAGTGTCCCCCTTGAAGTCAAAGCCGTGTGGGCCCTCTCCTTGCAGGGCTGGACGCGGCGCACTATGAAGCTCGCCGCCACCAGTGCACCGTTCATCTTCACGCCCTTTATTAGGCCGAGGAGCTCCTTCACCTGATCCATATCACCACTGCTCAGCTTCTCCGACTAGCTCTTCTAGTTTTCTGGGATGTGGTTGACGTCGCAGCGGATGGCAGGATGGCTCTGCTTCATGTAGAACCACCTGGCGTTCCACCCCTTCAGCGAAGTGTTTAGCGGTACAGTGATGTACTCGCCCGCCATCCCATCGCGGAGTTGCAGATATATGTCGCCGACCACTCTGGAACCGCCGTCGCCCTTCTTCTTTATCCAGAACAGTGGAAGAGGTTGAAGTGGGGAAGAACTCCAAGATACGCCTCACAGAAATGGATAAAGATAGAGATGTGCAAGATGGTGTTTGGGTGAAGTTTGCACAGACTAATTCCCCAGAACTCCAGCAGATCCCTCAAGAAAGCATGAATGGAAAATCCTAACCCGCGCCAGAAGTAATCTTCAAATACTATGGCTTCATCGGTATGCAGCATCGGGTAGGGCTCACCGTAGGCCGGCCGCCATCCGGCAATGACACGGTCAGGAAGAACGCTCGCCTTCAACATCCCGCTGATCTCCGCCTCCCCTATGAGCGACGGCACCCACTCATTGTCGCGGATGGCTCCGGCGGCTGCCTTCTTCGGGTTTCCAACTCACCTCTTCAGCGCCATCTCTCAGATCTGGTTTCGGATTGGCGGCGGAAGCGCGTGTGAATATGAATCGGGAAGCGCTAGGGCTGAGGAGGAAGACGAAGTGGCGAAGTGGCAAAGGTGGGAGCGCGGGGTGCGGTGGCACAGTTATAAAGCGCTCCCCCCACTTTTCGCATTCAACGGTTTTTGGGAAACCGCTCCACGATTTGCGCCTCTCCGAATTCTCCGAAGTGGCATGATGGGCCGTTACCTGGGCTTTCGCGCTACTACAGCCCGTATCGCCCATTTTTCACCGTAATTTGTTACTGCACACCGAATATTCGCCGACTTCTCCGCAATATCATTAAGGCTCAGTAACTCCTACTATACAACCATTACTCTGGTTTTTTCTCCACGATTTGATTCCTCCAAGATTTTCACTTGTGGCTCGGGGACTACATCATCACTACGACTTGGTTCCTCACCATACTGGGGATTTTCCTCTGGTTACTATTGTTTTTGACCCTGGCACCACGTGACCACGTCATCTACTGTCAGGCTCAGGGACTAAGTGGGCACACTTCACCTTACGGTGAATGTGCGTTTTTTCATTTCAAGGCTCCGCCCGGGGACTGGTTGCCTGTTCGGTTGGTCTTCTACTTTTCTTTTACTTTGGACCCTAGCACCACGTGACTACGTCACCTACTGTCAGGCTCGGAGACTAAGTGGGCACACTTCATCTTGCGGTGAGTGTGTTTGCTTTAATCTAGAAGACTCGCGCCTCCGAAGTTGAAGAAGACTGTCTCCCTTTCTCGTGGTCGGACTTTAAGTGGGCACACTTGGTCCACCGCGAGGAAATTTTTCAATTTTGAACTTGAGCTCCTTATATCCTTATGGCAAGCCTTACTTGGGATACACTGCTCGACGATGGTTCACAACTGCTCGACGACTCATTATGGTGGTCGGACTATGAGTCTGACTGCTCAGATTTGTTCACACTTGCTCGGACAAGCTCAAGACGACGTTAGGTTTGTTAGTAGTAGATTAGATCTATTTGTTAGGAATCAAAATAAACCTTTCTATGAAAGGAGATGCACCAATCAAAGGCAAGCAAGAAATCAATATAATTCCCCTCTTGTGTTCCACCCTCTAATCTATGATCTAAGTTCTCATCCCCCAACAAGCCGACTCCATCCGGTGGTGTCTATCCCGTCATGGATGCTAGCCATGAGGCCATGACATTTATGGATATCAACGGACTACTCTTTCATTGTGAATTTCAATTTTTGACAGAGCTATACCTTCTGCTGTGTTCTCCCAACCACCAATTGGACAAGTTGGTCTTACTGAGGAGCAGGTGATGATACAAAGCCTGCATCATAGTGTCATAATTTGCAACAGACAAAGAAATTCATAGGTGGTTATTTTTGCAGGCAATCGAAGAGTATGGTGATGTTGATGTCTTTGTTGCCAACTTCAGGCCTCTCAAGGCCACTCTGTCTGGACTACCTGATTGTGTATTAATGAAGATTCTTGTGTGCGCTACATCAAACAAAGTTGTAGGAGTGCACATGTGTGGTGATGATGCACCTGAGATAATTCAGGTTTGCATGACTTCATGTTTACTCCCGATTTCTGTTTCATTCTTAACTGGTTCCTGAATTTACGCGTTTTCTGTCAGGGAATTACAATTGCTGTTAAAGCTGGGTTGACAAAGCAAGATTTTGATGCCACCATTGGTATCCACCCAACATCTGCTGAGGAATTTGTCACAATGAGGAGCGCAACTAGAAAAATTCGGAACAAATCTGCAGATCAGGTCCACACAATGCCACCCTGAAATGAAATCTTTCCTTGGCTTACGCATATTTACTAGGAAATATAAGTTCTGAGAATAATTTGCTTTTGACTAGAATTATTATTTCTTATCTTTTATATGTTTGATTACACCTTTCCCCCCTTCAATTTCAGGTAGAATCTAAAGATGAGGTTGTAATAAGTAAGCAGTAGATACCATTTTTTCCTAGGAGGTAAGCAATTTCTTCTTGACTTGCACATTTATGTTTAGGCAGTGCTACATTGGCTTAAAACTTGATTCTATTAAAACAATTTATCACATCAATTGAAGAATTTTATTTAAGTGATTTGGATTTCAAGTCTTTATGGAGTATTGCTATGAGCTCTTTGATCTTTTACACCACTAGTTTGAGCAGCAAAACCCACTTAAAAGCCATCCTGAATGACACCCAATTATAGGTGGTTTCTTCCATTCTTTTTCTTTGAATGGTGGATTTGTGAAACTGTAACTAACATAAATTCGTAACCTCCTATTGTTTTTCCTTCTGAAGAAAAACACCTCTGTTATCCATTGGTTTTTTGACATATCTTTCATGACCGCCAAGGAAATATTTTGTCAGCATTGTCTTTATATTTAGTTTATGCTGCAGGTGTTCTCGGGGGAAGTATTCCTGTTGCAGGACAACAGCTGGACGGAATTTTGGAATTACACGGGCAGAGTAGCAGAAATAACCGCTAGGAATTTCTGAGAAACTCATGTTAGGGAACCAGCGATGCAGTATCATAGAATGGCTGTACATACCTGTCCGCTGAGCTATTATCCTATATTCCTATGTCTTGTACGTTGGAATAAAATACTGCAAATGTTTACCTTATGGTCAGGAAATTTTGTAATAAGTAAGGAATGCGCCTTCCTAAGCATTAGCTGTGATATTTGACAAACAAAACTGCCCCCTTTTTTTCAAGAACTGAGCTAATGATCCCAGCGTTTCGAAATATGTTTCTTGTGCAGTAAAAATACGGTTTAAGTGTGCTACAGCCCACAGCAGTTCATCTTGCATCTATTGATATTCTGACATTCTCGGTACATTAATTCTGCATAACTGTTCGAACATTGTAGCTTCTTCGTAGCGTGTTTTCAGTGTTATAAATAAATGTGCTTATATGCAGTGAAAATCAAGTAGTATGTGCATGTGACATGCATGGTAGTACAACGCGTAAACAAAACATGCATACGGGTTTGGACGTTGAAGTCCCTGTGTCTTCCCTGCTTGGTCAGTGTCAACTTGAATCGGTCGCAGTATAATCACTACCGGATTCACCTTCTTTGCCGAGTGCCTCAGGCACTCGGCGAAGGCCGATATATACTCGGCAAAGCCTTTGCCAGGGCACTCGGTAAACAGTTTATTGGCAATGACTTCTTTGTCGAGTGCACTTTATCGGGCACTCGGCAAAGCCTTTGCCGAGTGCTAAACTGACACTCGGCAAAGAAAAGTCGCCGTGGCGACGAGCGCCACCGTGACGGCAGCTTTGCCGAGTGTCAAGGTCAAGCACTCGGCAAAGGTCGCCGCTTTGCCGAGCGCCGTTGACTCAGACACTCAGCAAAGGTGGCCACTGTGCCGAGTGCTACCAGAAAGACACTCGGCAAAGGTATTCTATTTGCCGAGTGTCCTGTCAAGACACTCGGCAAATCAGGCGACCTTTGCCGAGTGCCTGGCCCGTGGCACTCGGCAAATCTGTGATGTTTGCCGAGTGCAATGGTCTTTGCACTCGGCAAAGCATGTTATCCCAGGTAGTCACTTTGCCGAGTGTGATGGCCATTGCACTCGGCAAAGTGATTGAAAACAACCTTTTTTATTTGTTTTTACATCCCATCCAAACAAACAGAAAATATATATAACAAACATCACTAACATCACATATATATCATCAACAGCACATATATATCACCAACACCACGTATATATCACAAACTGTTTATAGCGACTTTCCCAAAGGATTCTGAGACCGATTGCACAACTTGTGCAATGAACCACTGGAGGTCCTGAACTTCGTTAGGCTACAGTAAACATATTTTGTTTACAGTGACTTCAAATTCTAGATCACAAGTCAGCGAGGATGTACCGATTGCTGACTACAGCCATAGAATTCATAGCCAGGGAGCAAGGTAGCATGGTTAGAAGAAATCAGCACTCCAAATTAGCCAACACCATCAATGTGCACCAACACTATATTTCAGCATCTGATAATTTCGAAAAGTTGCCCAAGAACAGCTTCACACCCGCGATTCTGCTATTCTGTCATCCTGAGTCTGTTGTGCTGCACTCTCACCACCTGCACATTAAGAGGCCCGAAGGTTACATATTTATTAAGTATAAAATAATGGCCGTTCCAATAAATAAGCAACATAAGAAGCAAACTGCAGCTGATGCAGATGCAATACAGTCCCAATATCTAACAAAAAAGGAGTAGGTGAGATCCTTACTTTTAGGCCAACACCTTAAGATGAGATCCTTCAATTGAGTCCTCGGAACTGGAATGAATTTTCCAACAAAAGCCAAGGGCCAACTGCATGACCAGGCAATAGTTAATTACAAGCAAGCTACAGTCAATCCTCTAGGGCACCTATCAGAAATTAAATCTCATCTGTAGAAAATTATATGAAACTAAAATGCCAAAAGCCGCCAATGCCGAGCTAGATGACCGGAGGCTGTGGCTGTGGATCAGGACAGCAATGCCGTTGTGTGAAAAGAGGAAAGAGAAGGATGTAGTGGACTCCAGAGGAGGAAGGGAAGAGACCAGGGTGCTGAGGTTTGCCCCAATCCTCCTTCCTGACACAAACTTTTTTTAAAACGAATCTGACACGAGGTTATAGCTACAAATTGTTCCCATCATAATAATACACAACAGGGACATCACCCGCCAACATAAGCAAAAACCACCAGCAACACTCGGTTCAAATTAAAATGTAACTGGTGGTACAAGTTCAGGAATATCTGGTGGTCGCCTTGTCGGATGGATGTTGCCCAAAAGTTCAGGAGGCTATTAGATCTCTCCATCAAATTATTTAAGAAAGCATAGCTTATCCTTACAAAAAAAACTTAAGGTTATTAAAGTGGAAAAAGTATCTAACCTTAGAAAAGCAATAACTACGGAAACAAGCCAAAGCTTCCAGTTGAGTCTCACTGCCGATGTAAATTTCCCGAGGAACTCAATAATTATCACCTGACATAAAAAAGGCATGCCAGCAAGTGTTATGTCCTTAAAATCCTAAATTTATTGCTAAAACTATCTAAAACCCCTTCATACCTGCATCACAACAGTTATGCTCACTACTGCCAAGAAAAGGTGATTTCTTGAAACTCCAGCAAAGATGTTCAGTTTTTCTGGTTTACGAGAATTGACCTCATTAAACACCTATTGGGAAATGTGAAATCAAGGATTCGAGGTTCGTCAATTCCCAGAATGGTTTACGCATATGCTAGTGGTTACTAACATATTATATCCCTTGCTTCGAATGAAGAAAATCTAAGAATAAAAGAGAAATCAGTTGTCCAAACATTTGTTACCTGACACAAGAATGTGTTGAATATAAGTGTATTTTTCACTTTACTGGAGTGATCTAGTGTGTCATGAGTCAAATGCAAAAGATCCCGACCCCTAAAGTTGAGAGTCAGAAGAACAGCAACTTGAAAGACAGCCTGTGGTTACATATAAACATCAATATTTATCAAAAGGTAGTCCAGTCACAGTTTAAAGTTTGGCAACATCTGGCAGGACCTCAGTACCTGAATAAACACGTTTCTCCACATCATATTAGTTACAAGAGGTTCTCTGCATCAAATGCACAAGAATGTTAGCCATTTAAGCATATACAACAAAAAAATATGAAAAAAATACAATGAATCCTTTAGTTTTAAATTAATCTGAAATGCAAATAATACAAAGAATATGCTATTTCTTGGGTGATTCCTTCACCAGGAAATTACATTTTCAATGCAGGCACAACATAACCTTAAGAAAGATATGTGTTAAGATATGCCTCCTCCTCCTCCTTCCTCCTTCCTCCTTCTTCCTCCTCTCCTCCTCCTCTCTTTCTCCTCCTCCTCCGGCGGCGCGGCGCGGGGGGCGGTGCAGGCGGCACTGGCGCGGGCGGCGGTGGCGGCGCTGGCGCGGTCAGCTGCCTGCGTGTGTGTGTGTGTGCGGTGTGTGTGGGCCGGCTAGGCCGGCGGGGTTAAATCCCCCCTTTGCCGAGTGCCCCCGGTCTGGCACTTGGCAAAGTATTTTTTTAATTCTCTGCCGAGTGACACCTGGCCTGGCACTCGGCAAAGAGGATTTTTTTAAAAAAAAATCTTTGCCGAGTGCCCCCGATCTGGCACTCGGCAAAGTATTTTTTTAATTTTTTTTTAATTCTTTGTCGAGTGCCACCCGACCTGTCACTTCGGCAAAGAGGGGTTTTATTAAAAAAATTTAAAATTTTTGCCGAGTGTCAGCCGTCCTGGCACTCGGCAAAGAGGCTCCTTTGCTGAGCGTCAAACGCAGACACTCGGCAAATCATTTTTATTTTTTTTTCTTCCTGTCCCCAAACTTTTTTTTTGTAGTCCTCATACAATACCTGGTACTACATGTTCCAATGTGGCACATTTCTCGGACTTTTTCTATATTTCTTTAATTTATTTCATTTAATTGAATTTTCTTGGATAATTTAAATTATAACTGCTAGTCATTCGAATAATGAAAAAATGAATGGGAAAATAATATTCTTGTTATTTAGTATAATGTGAGGCCGTATCCAAGAACAGACCACCAATTTCAAACATCTTGTTCACGAAAAGCAAACGACGACCGAAAATCTTGAAACTTGTCGAGATGTCATGATATCATACGTGGAGGCTGTGATAAAAAATTGAGGAGGTTTCACGTAAGTTTGTCACGGTACGAGATATTGTATGAGATATCATATGTGGAGGCTGTGATAAAAAACTTTTCTATATTTTTTTAAATGTAGAAAAAGTCTGAGAAATGTGCCACATTGGAACATGGAGTACCAAGTATTGTATGAGGACTGCAAAAAAGTTTGAAGGTCAAAAGTAAAAAAAAATATGGTTTGCCGAGTGTCAAAAAATGACACTCGGCAAATCACCGCTTTGCCGAGTGTCAGGAAAAGACACTCGGCAAAGGGTTAATGGCGGCTGCCGGCCGTTAACGGCAGCGGCCCTTTGTCGAGTGTTCTAGTTTGCCGAGTGCCCAACACTCGGCAAACCTGGTATTTGCCGAGTGTTATTGTTTGCCGAGTGCTCGGCACTCGGTAAACCACCTCTTTGCAGAGTGCCAGTTGTTTTCCGAGTGCTTTCTCTCTAGCACTTGGCAAATAGCCTCTTTGCCTAGCGCCCGATAAAAAACACTCGACAAAGTCTGGGAGATTCGGCAAAGAAGCCGCCGGTAGTGAATAACTGGGCAGGGTCTTGTTTGTACAATGGACCCACGTTCCATCGGACATCGGTAACGTTATACCAGTATACCACACGGTTCTTGGCTATAGGTATGGATGAAAACGGTACGGATATTTATTCGACCGTCCGTTCGACCGAACAAATATGAACACTTATCTGGATAGTTACTCGGATATCCGTAATTTTTTTCGGATACGGATACTAAAACGGATATCTTAGGCGGATATCAAATACGGATGTAATATCATCGATATCCGGCAGATATCGGATAATCCGGATAAGTATCGGATATATCCGGATATTTAAAAACGGATATTATCCGGATATTATTCAAACGACCTTGGATGGAGAAATGATCAAAATAAAAATTGTAGATCTCAAAAAGTTATGAAACTTTGTTGTTTACAACTTTTTCGTTTAAAATCATTTAGTGCTTCAAAATTTAAACCGTCCAAACTTTCTCAAATGGAAAACTAGTTTATAGGCGTCAAAATTTAAAAATCATAAATTTGAACCATCCAAACTATCTCAAATGAAAAGTTGACCAAAACAACAATTGTAGATCTTGATGAGTTGAACAAACTTGGTATTCAAAACTTTTCAATTTGAAGTCATTTAGAGTTCATAATACTAGAGTCAAAGTGTTGTTTTTTCATTTGACCAAATTTGACTTGGTTAAACTTGCTCAAATGAGACACTAAATGACCTCAGATGAAAAAACTCTAAATACCAAGTTTGATCATCTCAGTAAGATCTACAATTGTTACATATATCATTTTCCCATTTGAGAAAGTTTTATCAAACACTAGTCACAAATTCTTGAATCTCGTATAGACTTTCTGAAACTATGTCACACACTTGTGAAATTTGAACTATATTTTGTTCAAACTTTCTCAAATGAAAAAATGGCCTATATAAGGATTGTAGATCTTGACGATATGAACAAATTTGGTATTCAAAACTTTTCAATTTGAGACAATCTAGGGTTCCGAAAACTAGTTTGTAAACATCGAAATTTAAAAATCACAAATTTGAACCGTCCAAACTATCTCAAATGAAAAGTTGACCAAAACAACAATTGTAGATCTTGATGAGTTTAACAAACTTGGTATTCAAAACTTTTCAATTTGAAGTCATTTAGAGTTCATAATACTAGAGTCAAAATGTTGTTTTTTATTTGACCAAATTTGACTTGGTCAAACTTGCTCAAATGAGACACTAAATGACCTCAGATGAAAAAACTCTGAATACCAAGTTTGATCATCTCAGCAAGATATATAATTGTTACATAGCTCATTTTCCCATTTGAGAAAGTTTTATCAAACACTAGTCACAAATTCTTGAATCTCATATAGACACTATGAAACTATGTCACACACTTGTGAAATTTGAACTACATTTTGTTCAAACTTTCTCAAATGAAAAAATATCCTATATAAGGATTGTAGATCTTGATGAGCTCAACAAACTTGGTATTCAAAACTTTTCAATTTGAGACAATCTAGGGTTCCGAAAACTAGTTTGTAAGCATCGAAATTTAAAAATCACAAATTTGAACCGTCCAAATTATCTCAAATGGAAAGTTGACCAAAACAAGAATTGTAGATCTTGATGAGTTGAACAAACTTGGTATTCAAAACTTTTCAATTTGAAGTCATTTAGAGTTCATAATACTAGAGTCAAAGTGTTGTTTTTTCATTTGACCAAATTTGACTTGGTTAAACTTGCTCAAATGAGACACTAAATGACCTCAGATGAAAAAACTCTAAATACCAAGTTTGATCATCTCAGTAAGATCTACAATTGTTACATATATCATTTTCCCATTTGAGAAAGTTTTATCAAACACTAGTCACAAATTCTTGAATCTCGTATAGACTTTCTGAAACTATGTCACACACTTGTGAAATTTGAACTATATTTTGTTCAAACTTTCTCAAATGAAAAAATGGCCTATATAAGGATTGTAGATCTTGAATCCATGACCATGACTCCATGAGACCCATGAAGCCATGAACTTGGCTATTTTTACTCATGCCGCGAAGATTGGTGCTTGTATGATGTTTGATATATGATGTATCTGTATCTTTATCTTATTTGTTGCTTTACTCTTTAGTCTTTCGGCTTAATCTAGATGGATTATGGACTCATAGAGTGGTGTAATGGTTTGCGCACGTATGATATATATATATATATATATATATATATATAGAACTACTATCCTGTAGCTGGCTACAGAATAACTTATTCTGTAGCCACTTTGAGTTATGATAATTACTATGTTAATTTACGAGATTATAGTAACTCCTTACTAAGTGGTTTAATATAATGTTATGGTAAATATCCCCATGTGTTATAGTAACCCAACTATCGTAAATATGTATTGACATTATGGTAAATTAGTATATAAAATTATAGTAAATGGAGGTGGCTACAGAATAATTTATTTTGTAGCCGGCTACTGAATAGCCTCTCCCTATATATATATATATATATATATATATGCTGCTTTTACTCAATATCCGAATAGATATTTGTATCCGACCTTCTCCGAATCCGATTCATACCGTATTCGATACTCATTATTCGTATCCGTAACCGAGTCAATCCGTATTCGTATATGTATCCGAACGCTATCCGTGTCCGAATCCGAATCCGAACAGAAATATGAAAACAAATATAATATGAGTGATGTTCGTTCGTATCCGATCCGTTTTCATCCCTAGCTATAGGTCTAGTCGATCTGGACTTGTGTTCTTGAGGCGTGAATACATACCTAAGCACATGACATACTTATGTGTGATATTATATTATATACATATATAGGCCCCGTTCGTTTCGCTGAAAAAACAAACCGAAACACTGTTCCAGTTGATTTATTATCAGAGAAAAACACTGTTCCGACTGAAAAAATAAAGCTGAAAAAGACGGATTATAGAAGCGAACAGGGCCATACAGACATGTTCATCCAACCAAATGCTAAATTAATGTGCTTCTAAAACTTGTGTGTTCCTTGTGCAATACTACAGAGTTTCCATGATCGAGTGTTCCCTGAATAGGAGTAACGGATTTTGTAGTGAGGCTAATTAATACGGTAATACATTAAATTGACATCGATGTCAAATGCTAAACAAATATTTCCACAGCATGTGGCAGGAGACTCTGATCCACTATTGTACTGTCCCAAGCGCATGAGGTCACTTGCGCTTACTGTTCCTCATGACCAGCTGGAAGATCAGGTTCAGAGGTCCAGTCCATTTGTCACCCCTCGGTACCTCACTAGCATGGAAACTACCAGGAGGCCAACTGAATATTCTTAGTCGCCATTCTTTGTGTCTGATTCCCCCCCTTCAAATCCG